GGAAAGAGATTCATCCATGATCAAACCTGTGATTCATGTTGTTATTCTGTGTTCACACTTACACCTTAAATCAGAGTTCAATACCCTGCATATTCACTCTTTAAAACGCCCTGGTTGAGCAGCAAAGTTCTCCTGCCCTGTCTGTTTTGCAAGTGTACAGGTGTGTACAAGCTCTTTAGCAACAGATAAAACAGGATATAATTGCCCTGCGTGCTGGGCATGAGGGGAGTTGCTTTTGATGACGATATTCTGAACACTTGGAATACTCAGTGATTTTTGCTCAATTCTTTTTACGCTGAAGAAAACAAGTCTACAAATTGATTTACCTGCTTCAGCTATTCATGCAAAAGACCTCATTAAATAGAAGCACCTTTTTTTCCTAAAGAAGCCTGGTACCTATCCAATGGGTAAAAGGATGAATGGCTATAATCTTTGAATACACAAGATACACAAAGCGAGTATTTCATAGCTGCACAAAGCCCATAATTGAACTTCTGCCCTAGGGGTAAGTTTTCCTGCAGTGTAAGTGCTTCCAGATGCCACACAGGGGTCATGTTCCTTGTCAGGAAAGCAGAGCTTTACATCCAGTTAATTGTTATCCCCAGCTGTCTTTTTTTTTTTTTCTTCATTGAGACTAGTTTTCCAACAGTCATTCAAGCAAATGTGCTCATTTCCCAGTTCCCCCGCAATTCCCCACCACAATGTAACAAAGTGCAGATTTTGCATGGCTACATTCCAAACTCCGTGGTGTTAAAATCATAGCAGCAATGGAAAAGCATGTAGCCTCAATAATCATAATGTAGGACTTGAACTAGAGGTGACTCAGTGGTAGTCAAACAGATGCTATATGAAAATAGAACGGTTTCTATGTACAGAGCATTAACTTGCGGTTAACCCATGGAGTTAGTACTCACACATGAAGGTTTTCATGGCTTGCTAAGCACCAAAAATTACTCAGTCTGAATTAAACTGATGACCTCAATTCAGTTTACTGTGTCTGGGTATCCATCTCAGAACATAGTGACCATGAACAGCAAGTCCCTTCTCCCATAATTCCTTTGGGCTTCATCTTTGGTGTCAATCACATGAAAAAAGGCAAAGACCATGTCCATCCAGTATTCGGAGCCCTTCAGCTCAGTAGCAAAATATTCACTGATTTGAGACAGCTCAACAGTGGCTAAGAGAGGAAAGTTCAGACCACAGCCTGCTGCAGAACAAACTAAAAAAATTGCAAGGAAGACAGTGAATATAATAAAAGGGCAGCACAACCCCTTTATCTTCCTCAAAGTATTAATGGGAAACTCGTGTGTGCATTTGCAATGCCAGTCCCTCATTACCAAGCACTAGCTACCACCTGCTTGGGTTACCAGACCTGTTGAAGACTTGTTGTTGGTTGAAGAAGAGCTTGGGAGAGTTCACAGTTCAGGCTGCCAAGCAACTGACCATTAAACACTCAAGACCAAAGGCTAGGGAAGGCTTTTACACCAACTTGCTCAATTTTATCAATAATAGCTCTGGAAGAGGCAGCTTCAAGCCATTGTAGTTGTGCTTTTCAGACCATCCTTCAATACAGTTACAGTCCTACCTAAATAGCCCTTACCATTCCCACTTCCCTCACAAAACAACCCAGCTTTTTTAGTCAACAAAAGATCACTTAATCTTTATAATAAGAAGAGGTTTGACATTTACAGCAACCCACTCCTAATCTTTTTGGTGTCTATTCTCTGGATTCCCTCAACAGGGAAACCCACACTATTCTGTGGGCTTTCTGTTGAAAGTTGTCACTGCCTGATGACAAAAAGCAAATATATACCATAATCTTCAAGCTCTGGAGTGAGGCATTTAGAGCTCAGTCAGCACCTGGGCCTCATAAATTTATAATTTCCTCAGAAAAGTTCTCTACATCTTTGGAAGATCTGAAAACTACTTTTTTTTTTTAATCATTAGTCCATAAACAAAAAATGGAGGGGAAATACATCATTATCAAAATGTTTCTTATCTGAACACGCCTCTCCTAAGCTTCTGTCGGACCAGAAAGCAAACAGGTTGTGCCAAGCCTTCTTCTCTTTGGGCGCTTGTGCCAAGGCTAGGATTTGGATCTTCTGATTTGTTAGCACAGATAATTCCCACTCACATTTCCCCTTGGGAGAAGAGGGCAAGGAAAGCCACTTGCTACACTGTGAACTTTCAGGAAACATTCCCAAGCAGCATGTCCCTGTGCTCCTCCCTGTACTGAAACTTCACCAGTTCAGACAATTTCTTACTCCTGTTGTTGCAATTAACCTTCAGAGAAAATGATTAACTACAATCTTATGCATATGAGGGACTGATCCAGATTATTAGCCTAGAAACTATGTCCTCACTGCAATTCTACGTTTTTTCCTCCTCCCTGGATGAAATCCTGACCCCTTCTCCACAGCCTGGCAGTGCTTGCTCACCAAAATTAAAGGACAATTAGCTCCAACAAAGGGAGAGGCGATCACACCTCCTTCCTTAACTGGGACACTGGAAATTAAAAAGTCCTCCCCTCACCCAGTACTGCTCCTGAAAGACCTTGCAGAAAATCAGGCACAGCTTTACCTGTAATCTGGCCCAATAAGCTAAACATTTCAAAGAAAAGAGCCGGGGTCAGCATCATCTCTGACAGCCAGAACATGACATGCTTGGATGAGGAGTTTGGGGGGGTGGAGATCAGCCTCTCTGGGGGATCTGTACTTGGCTCCTCTTCATACAATGCCTGCCTCCAAGCACAAACTTCCACCCGGCCCCACCGCCTCCCCCCAGTCAGTACTGTTTCATACTCACCATGTCATAAACATTCAGAATCACCGGTTCATTTGCCATTGTTGATTGCAGTAGAGGCTGGATTAAAACCTTTCAGTCCCTGCCAGATGTGTGTTGCTGCCCCCAGGGTATGCCTTTACCCTGAGCCAGATAGAAGGAAATGCCTCATCCTACAGTCTCCAAAGGAAGGAGTGTGGAGGGAGGAGGAAAGGAGGGAATTCCTGCAATTGGGAGGGGGGTAAAGTTGGTTACCGGGAGGCAGGAAGGCTTGGGCTGGGTTTGCTGATTGTATAGGGTTTATTTTACCCCTCCACAGCGTGACAGATCTGAGGTTTCTTTCTAACTCTGTACCACACCTCGGGGTCTGTAGACTCATACACCACTGTAACCAGGCACGGTCCAAGCTTGTGAATCCCGATCCACAGAAGACAAACAGACTCCGAGCCCTCTTCTGGCTCCGTGAGAGAGGCGGGTGGTACTCTGTGTGTGTGTGGATCTCTCGGCGTCCTTCTCGGCAGAGCGGCGTGCTGCTACAGCAGAGGGCTGCCAGCAATACGCAATCAACCGTGGCACAGAGGCACGGAGCAGGGTCCGGAGCCGGGCACCGTTGTCCCTTCCGCGGGCGGAGCTCGGCGGCACCCGCGCCCGGGCCCGCCCGGAGCCGGGAGCTGTCCGCGGTGCTGGGGCTCGGCCCGCCGGGAGCCGGGAGCTGTCCGCGGTGCTGGGGCTCGGCCCGCCGGGAGCCGGGAGCTGTCCGCGGTGCTGGGGCTCGGCCCGCCGGGAGCCGGGAGCTGTCCGCGGTGCTGGGCTCGGCCGGCGCTCCGGCGCTCCGGGGGGGGCTCTCCGCCCCTGGCAGGACACGGCGAAGAGGCTGTGCCAGAGGGGCTCCGGCGCGGGGCTCGGCGGGGGGAGGAGGAAGAGGAAGGGGCTTGCTGCCCCCGGGGCAGAGGGGGGATGCGGCAACCCCCATCCTGCCCGCAGCCGCGCAGGCAGACCTGGCGTCGGCGCCGAAGTTAGCGGGCAGTTCTCCGCGGGAGATAGCGCGGGATTTCCCGGCGCCGAGGCTGGAGGGAGGAAGATGCCGAGCAAGCGATGCTTCCAGGCACGGTGCGGGGCCGGGCACCCCCAGCTCTGCGTGCTCTGCTCTCCGCCAGGGTCAGTCCTTATTTCGGGATCTGCTCGTCCCGAGCCGGGCAGCCCCTACTGACTGACAGCCGGGGGGACCTACCCCGTCCTCTACTGGCTGGATGCATCTCTGCATGGCACACGGTGGGAGGGCGGGGAAGGGACGAAGCGACTGGGCAGGGCGAGTAGTTTCACTTCTGGCAGCGGCAGGGTCTGGAGTTTCTTCCGTCCTGGAGCTACTTTACACTCGTGGTAGACTCGAGCAGCTCTGCAAGGTCTTGCCAGCAAACACTCCCCTCTGACCTGGATGCGAGAGTCAATTATAAAATCCACTGCGGTAAACTCATCTTCCTTTTGCTCCTCCTCTCTCTTTAAAGGGAGAGCAGGGTCTGTGATGGTGCTGGGAAAGGGTGCA